AATGTATTTTGTAAGAATACAAATAGTTAACAGAATAAACATGTTTGTATAATGTGCACCAAAGATTTTTTTTCAAAATATTGTTTTTGCTGCTAAATTATACAGTCAGCTAGTTTAATTTCATAGCTTATATATTTTTATTCAAATGTAGTTTTTCTCTGTAATGAGGAAGTGTGTATTTAGTGGATTGCGTTTAACAAAGGGTTTAAAAGAGTTACCATTAGTTCCACAAACACAGTATTGATATTCTGTAGTGGTGTAGAAAAAAAATAGCACTGGTGTTGATCTCTGGTCATCGCAATAACCGTGACTATTTTTAGACAATTAATCGTCAGCCAAATTTCATAATCGTGACAGCCCTAGTATTCTTGCTGCCTTCAAGTCATGTTGAAGTAATCATAATAAACACTAAGCGTTAAGAGGATGAGGAACATCAACAAAGTGAACAAAAAAAATTAGTCACATGATTAAAAAAAGACAAAAGCAACAGCTAAAAGCTAAATAGAATTATTGGCTAACATAAAATCCTCGAGAACCGAAAAAACATTGAAATGTTGCAGGTCATGATGAACATTGGAAGAATAGTATTTTGATTCTGCATTGGCTTAGAGATTAATAATGTGTGCTGAAAATCAGTTAATTCACCTTTTGAGGGAAATTGCCTTTTTTTTAATTTTTTTTTTAACATATCTCCTTTGACACAGGTGGACACGTCGAGAGCAGGCTGACTTCTACCGCACAGTGTCCTCGTTTGGAGTAGTATATGACCCAGAGAAGAAGACTTTTGACTGGACCCAGTTCCGTGCCCTTGCTCGATTGGAGAGGAAGACGGATGAAAGCTTAGAGAGATATTTCCACAGCTTTGTTTCAATGTGTCGAACTGCATGTAGACTGCCGCCCAGAAAAGATGAAGGTAAAAAAGATAGTTGATAGTTTGATGGGAAGGTTAATAGAAGCTAAATCTGTCATAATGTAAACACAACTTCTTGTCTCATGTAGGTAACGTGGATCCTTCACTGTTTGTGGAGCCCATTACAGAAGAGCGAGCTGCCAGAACATTATATCGTATTGAGCTTTTGAGAAAGGTCCGTGAGCAAGTATTGCGCCACCCACTCCTGGGGGCACGACTGCAGCTTTGTCGCCCTAGCTTGTATTTGCCCGTCTGGTGGGAGTGTGGCAAACATGACCGTGATCTTCTCATTGGGGTCGGTAAGCATGGATTGAGTCGAACTGATTTCTACATCCTCAATGACCCCCAATTTTCCTTCCTGGAGGCCCACCGGAACTATGTTCATAAAGAAAACCACAGATATCCAGTCCCAGGCTTGCCCCACCACCATTGCTGCTTGTATGATGCCAACCTTGGGCATTGTCAGTCCCCACAACCACCTCCAGAGTATCACCACACGCCAACACAACTCGTCCATACTCATGGGCATCACCAGGCCACAGAAGTGGTGGCATCAGAGTCTGGAAGTTCCCTAGGGATAGATACAGGAAATAGTGAAGGATTTTTGGATTGTCCTCCATTGGATGACTCTCTGGAGTTGGGGTCATTGCAACATGAAGGCTTGACATCAGACACACTACATGGCAAATCTGGTAAAGAGGCCTTCAATGGATTCCCGTTCAATTCTGCAACCGGTGGGCAGAATATGCTAAATTCGTACGGTGTGCAAGGGGAGTTAAATGGGTCTCAAGGAGACATGGTGGACTCCATAGCTGGGAAACTTCGCAGCGATGTTCTGGTGGGAGAGCAAGGGTCCTCAGAGGAAACTGGCTTAATGGCTCCTTCTGTGGAACTAGATGAACTTCAAACTCCATGGGAAAGCTCGGACCATGCTGAAACTTCTGACATGTTCAACGAGACTGATCCCATCTTGGGAGCGCCAACTTTGGAACCCAGCTTTCTTGATGCTCCTCAACCAGAAGATGGACGGGAGGGTGATGAAACGCTCACCGACTGTTTGAGCATGCCTAGTTCGGACTCTCAAAGCAACCCTGTCGAACCACTGGCACCAAGCTTCATGTTGTTCAAAGACCTTAATGTTGGAGAGACTTCTGTGGATCAGACAGATCTGTCAGCCAGTCTTCCAGAATATGTTCCACCACCACCTCTTGGACTCCCGGATGTGAGTTTTGACCAGACAGATCCCATTAGTGAGGAGCAAGAGGACAGGCTTAGTGATTCCAACATCACACATGGTGTTCCCAGTCCAGAAGGAGCTGAAAGCATAAGGTTTCATTTTGAGAAAGAAGACCTTTCTCCAGACAGTCCGAAGACAAAGGATACTCAAGATGAGATCGACAAGATGCCTTCAACAGAGTCTCCAAGGGAAAATTGTCTCGAGGAATCTCAGAAAGGGGAGGTGCCATTTGACGATTCCAGTGGAGATTTGAAAGATCCTTGTGAAGTGGCTTTCGAAGAACCTTATGAAAAGCCTCTGACAGAGCCAGAAAAAGTGCCTTTAGAGGAGTCTTATGATTTAACTTGTGACGAGACCCTGCAGGAACCTTGCGAAGGGTTTCAGCAAGACACAGCGGAACAGCAGTTGGTGGAAGAAACCTGCAAAGAACCGCCAGAGCCAATAGAAGAGTGCAATCTAACTAACACTACTCTTTCAACAGATTACCCTATGCCTTCTTCACTCCCATCGTCTCCAACTACCTTACCTGACATCTCTGTATCCCCTGGCCTTGACGCAGTCCCAAAACAAGAGTTTCTCGTGGATCCAGTGGTGTCAGATGTGAAGCCTGAGCCAGATAGCACTACGCAGACCCCTCACCTTGAGCAGACTGAGGTTTTGGAAGTAAAGGACAAGATAAAAGATGAAGGGGCAAAGGCACCAGGTATTGTGGCTGTAAACATTAGCTTTCTACTTTGTATGTTTGGTTTCTGATTCTGTTAGTCATATGTAGTAGTTCCAGGTCTATTGAGTTTCTTAATATTTCATTTCATTCTTTACAAAACTAGTAATGGCAGTTTGGGCTGTTTACCCTGTTGGAGAAAAGCATCTCAGTAGACTTAATTGGTGTAAGCTAGTCTAGCTGGTGTCCTAGCCTGGCCAATTTGGTGTTTAGCTTGTTAGACAGCTGTTCTCCAAGTCTGAACACTTAAGTGTCCAAAAGCTAGCAAACTGGATCAACTTGAACAGGTTAGGAGACCAGCAAACTAACTGGCTGTTTTAGGCTCACTTTATTGGTACCAGAAGTATGTACACGTCCGTTTTAGGGCTGAAAACATTTTAGAAGGAAAAGACAATGATAAAAGTGGAATAACTGACTCCTGACTGTTGAATTATTGATAATTATTGATATTGTGGCCGCATTACCACCTTTACTGTGCATTAAATAATTCAACAGTTTGTCATCAATTATTTCTAATTCTTGACAAACACTAGTCAGATTTGCTGGATGGAATCACTTAATATTTTCTGTACTGCCCAACATATTCAGACACATTACATGCCGATAAATTATTTTTTCTCACTATGTGACATAAGGAATAAATCATTTAAAAAACTGTTTTAGTCTCTTTCTCTCCCAGCATGGTTTGAATAATAATTGTTTGTTTTTTAGCATTATTGGGTGATGTTGATGGACCACGCTTTGCATTGCCCATGTGTGAGATGCCAGAAAGTGTCCATGAAATAAGGGAACCAACCATTGCTCAGCTTCTACAAGAGAAAGCACTCTACTCCTTCTCAGAGTGGCCTAAGGTATTGCCATGTTGGTGACCATTTTTCATCAAGTGGTGATACTGAAAAGATATTGAATATTTTGCATATTCTGCTGAAAATGTGAAAGTCTTCTCTGAAAATTAAATAAGTAAAGCTGGTGTCAGCCCATAGCATACCACTAGACATGTATCAGTCACCTATTTCTGCAGTTAGACCCATTTCATACCCTGTTTTGTCTTTTTGCTCCCTATAGGACAGAGTGATCATCAATCGTATTGACAGTATCTGCCACACTATCTTAAAGGGGAAGTGGCCTTCCTCCAGTCAACAGTATGACTCTCCCACCTCATTGGCTAACACCTGCGTGCCCAGCAGTGCCCACCAGAGGGCAGGATTTCTGCCTACCAGAATGCCTATATCTCAGAGCCTTAACTTTAACCTCTCACACACAGTACCCCACTTACCAAAGGTAGGTGTGAGATCACATCATCAGACAGGAGGTTCTTCAAGGTGTCTGCAAATCCTTAAAAAGTAGTGAAATATCCTAAATTCAAATCGGGTTTTGGAAATATCTGGACATAAATTATATGAATGAAAATCCTGGAGATATCAGGGTATTCTAAATGTGTGAAATTTTTAGGCCTGAAAGTCATGGAAATTAATGAGATTTTAAAGTGTCTAAATTGTGGTTCCTTTGAGAAAAAAATTGGATTGTTTTTAATCCATTTTACAAATCTAAATATCATCAAACAGCTAATAAAAGCCTTTGGATTGTTACAAAATTGGTTCCAAAACTCTTTAGATTGAATTAACTGAAACATGGAGATAACCTATTTATTTTTTTTCTTAATTTACAACTCTTGTCCCAACAGGAGCGGTTAGTGGCCCCAGCATTTCTCCCTGAGCTCAAACGTCCGAGACGTGGGTTTGAATTCGAGGCAGAAGTCCTTGCCAAACCAAGCCATCTTGGAGAAAAGATCCAGGTTGGCGTGCCTCATCGTGCAAACGCTCTCCTCCTTAATGGCTGGCAGGACGCCGCTATTGACCTCTCCAAACCAACAGAGCTAACAGTTGGTGGAGACAGTGGGCCAATCAGTCAGATGAGCCACACTGTCCAGTCAGCGCCCCATAAAATAACTGGGATAGGCTCCATACAAGGCTCACTGGGATTGGATATGGCTGGCATTTTGCAGGCTGGCCTGATACACCCTGTCACGGGGCAAATTGTCAACGGCTGTCTTCGTCGTGATGATTCAATGTTGAGACAGAGGAGAGGACGAAGAAGAAATGTGGAGACTCCTGATCTCAACTTTATAAAGAGACAAAGCATGAACTTGCCTGAACAACAGGTTTGTGGAAACACGTGTCAATGAAGTGGATATAGTAGGACACCCAAAGATGAAAATGGCCCCATGTGATTCTAGCATTGTACTATTTGTTTTGTGAGACATAAAAGGAGATGCTTGGCAAATCTACTCTTCTTTTCTGTATAAAGAAAGTTGAAAAAACAAAAAAAGTTGAAAGTGATGATTTATCCCACCAAGCTCAAAGTAAAAAAAAAGCACCATAAAAGATTAAAGTCTTCATCAGAAGTGGTATGGGGTACTTTTTTGATGTTTCTTTTTTTTTGGGGTACATTTTTTTAAGCTAATTTGATGTTTTTAAAAAGATTTACCAGGACAATATTTTAAATATTAATATGAAAGATCTTATATAGTCTCTTTTGTGATGTTGAAAGAAACTTATTTTCAAAGTTTTTATTTCAAACTTGGATCTTGCCACGAAAATAGCCTTTGATGCTGATATGGCACTAAAATAAATAAATTATATTAATAAATCAATTTAACTGGCAAGTGTTGTGTTAATCTTTGTATGCTCCACAGAGTGGGTCAGAGAGTATCAGCCACCCTGTTGTGTCCTCCACATCCTCCCAGTCAGAAGGCCCTCCAGCCACCCTGACTACACTTCCTACTCAGCTTCCAGCACCCTCTCCAGCTCCTCCTCCAGCCTCAGAGACCCTGAATGTGAGCATGGACAGGGAAACAGCCAATAAAGGCCTAATGGAATGGCTCCGACAAAACCACAACTTCAACATGGAGCTTTCTGCTTTTCCGGTAAGTTAGAACAGAACTTAGTTTTAAATCATAATCTTTTTTTTTACATTTTCTTTTGAAAATTATAAACACCTATTAAATTCTTATTAGATAAAGTTAAGGCTTATTTTTGTCTTACATTTTAAATGTCCTGTTTCACATTACGTCACATTACTACTAAATCAGATGTATATGCGAAAGCAATTTCATGTTTATTTGTGTATTGTTAAGGAGCTTTAAAAAAAGTTGCAAGGTTGTTAACACTATTTTTCCATCTAGAAAGATATTTGAATGATACTAAATGTAAATGTTTATTGTATACAGCTTATAATATATATTATATATTATAAGCCTTGATACAAATAATATATTTGATGTTTAATGCATTACTATAACCTAATTTATATTTCACATCTTTCTTAGTCTCAGAATGCAAACATATTGCACAGTTTCCTGGAGCGTCCAAAACAGAGAAGGCATCGCTGCAAAGACCCATCCAAACTCGACGTCAGCTCTCTAACTGGGGAGGAGAGAGTCCCAGTAGTGCACAGAAACACAGGCCGCAGGGTAAGAAAACATGCAAACATACTCCTATATCCTTTCTTGTTTATTTGTTTATTTAATTTAAATTTAATGTGACAATTCCTCTGGTTGCAGCTTGGAGGCGCTATGGCTCCAGCGATTAAAGAGCTCTCCCGATGGCTGGATGCAAACTCAGAATACTCTGTGGCTCCTGATTGGGCGGATGTGGTGAAGCACTCGGTGAGTCATATATATTCTGTCTAGAAAGAGACTGGAAACTGCAAGAAGTGGAGCAGAGATTGTTCCAGTGAAGCCACTTGTGAATATGTAGTAAACTGAACAAATGCTAATCGTTAAGGTTCAGCATCTAAATGTTGCCTAAAATGTATAGGTTCAGAGTGGAAGAAATCACAATCTCGCTTAAGCACTACAAAGTCCTTGAGCTGAGCTGAGTTGAGTTGACCCTCCTTATAGTTTGTCTTGGAAAAAAAACATCTGCTAGATGACTAACAATATAAATTTTTACTGCAACAATTTCACAGATTCTGAGTTTGTCATCTGCATGAAATCCCCCATAGGGATGTCTATAATAATCTATACTATAGTTTATAATATTCTATTGTATATTCATTTATTATTAGGGTAGGTATGGTAACTGGATTTTTTTTGTTTAAATTATATTACTATAGTATTATTTTCACATTAAAAATGTAAAATAAAACTGCTTGAGTGTCAGTGTGTTTCACTGAAATCCATTCTATTGAAATCTAACCCAAGTTTATGAGTTATGCAATTATATATAACATGTATGCACGTTTTAACTGCAATTAATGAGAGTTGACTCAGAGAGTTGATTTTGATCATGATTTTGAATGAAACTACTTTAAACTTTATATCATATATATGTGCCATTTTTATCCTATACATTAATGATATAGTCTTTGACTTTTATAGATACTGAATGAATTTGTTCCTTGTAAACCAACACTAAGTTTCCGTATCGCTCTTTTCCAGGGTTTTCTACCGGAGGGCAAATTCACACGCATCCTCTCTGGCCCCGTGTGTCGGGATCCCGGTCCGCGTAGAAGAGGCAGGCGACCCCGCAGCGAGATACCCAAAGCCCCCGAGCTCGCCGCTGCCATGGGTCCGCTCTTCATGAACGGTGGGCTCATTGGCAGCATGGATCTAGTTAGCTTACCCAATCTCCGCAATGTCCCTGGCATCCCGCTAACCGGTATCATGGGCTTTCCTCACGGTTTTGCCACTGCCGTACCGTCAGGAGAAGATGCCAAGAATGGACTCAGCATGCTGCCCATGATGCTCCACGGCATGGCGGCCGTGCAGCCGCCCATGTACAGCGCTCACATGAGTGGGATGATAAATCAACAGCTGTCCACAGTGATGTCCACTGCAACCGCATCCTCCACTTCAGCGAGCGTGACTTCGACGAGCTCCACAACCGTAACCGTAACCTCAACCTCCAGCCCAGCAGATAGTTCGGATTCTGCGCCTCAGCGTGAAAACGCAAGCTCTCCGATGAGCACGGAGAATGGGAATAAGGAGGATGCAAAGCAAGGAGGGGAAGAGAAGAAAGTGTCCGCTTCTGTGTCTACAGCTGCGGCCACTAGCAGCAGTAGTAGTAGCATCACAAGCACCGGCAGCCATTTGACCTTTAACCCCTTTCTAATCCCGGGAATGTCACATAGTCTGTTGTATCCGCATATGTTCTTGCCACCGGGCAGTATAATGGCTCTGCCCACTATGCCCGCAGCAGACAGCACGGGCAGCCCCAAGAGGAAGAGGAAGAAGGTTAGGGAGGAAGGAGCAGAGGAGGGAAGCGGCAATGTTGGTGTGGAATCGAAGGGGGTTAAAGACGAACAGACACCCGAACAAAAGAGCCAAGAGGGCGGAATGGATGAAGGCGGACCTGATGTAGATTTAGCTCAGGTCAAAGATCTTTCTGACCCTATAAAAGATCCTTCTGAGGATAAAAGTACTGAGGAAAAGGACATAAATGAGATGGGAGAGGAAACGGAGTCAAATGCTCTAAGCTCTTGTGACGGTGGAGACTAGAATGCATTCTCATGTTTGGGCTGCAGTACTTTTGTACGTGTCGTGTCGGTAAAGTTTGTGTATAGGACTTTGATTATCCATGTATTGTTTATAGATCTGCCCTTGTAATTTCACTGACATATACTCTACCTTTTGCGTGTGTGCTAAAGATATAGACACTTAAAGCATGCAAACACTCAGAGGTCTCGAATCCTAAAAAAGGGACAACATCATCATTGGTGTTAGTGTGTTCCTTTTGCATCATGGGAATGGATATTCAGACGATTCTGTCTATTGACGGAGAACGCTCTTAGTGACCCCAGCATTTTTAGGTGTTATTCACTAGCATCTTTCACAGGTTCTCAGAAAGCAGTAGGATGTTGGTATTGTGCAAAAAACAGACGGCGGTCTCACTTCGTAATGGTGTTTCGGATCACGCTCTTATAAGTTGCATAAGACCTAGATTCATGTTTTGAAACATTTCTCTGAATAATGTAAAGAAAACACTCATCCCATTGGTAGATTACCAGCAGAGCTGCATCTGATACAGTCTCGATGGATCACAGTATTTTGTTCTTAGTTGCTTGCTGCTATGTATTCATTTTAGTGAAGATTTTAACCTAAATCCTTTACAAAGCTATAGGTGGCATGAGTGCAACATGGTGAGTGCAATGGAAACTCAAAAAGAGCAAGGCTTGAAGTTGATGGCAAAGAACAATCCTGAGATTGATTTATCTTTTGTTTTGTTTGTCTTGTTTTTGATGTCATTTCCACGTGGTTGCTTTGATAAGATGCCCCCGTTGGGATACTACTAATCATTATAGAGGTGGCTATATATACTTAGGGGTGCTGCAAGTTCAAGAGTGAAGGGTTAGTGCCATAGATGAGACTTGGTTCTAAATGGTTTTGGTGCACGGGCTTATAAAATAAGTGATGCAAAGCAGATGGTAGAAAATTGCGAGAACTGTGTTTTTAGTTACTTTAAAAGGATAATTCACCCTAAAATTAAAGTTCTGTCAACATTTCACCCTTATGTCATTCGAACCCATATGAATGTCTTCTGTGGAGCATAAAAGCCGCATGCTCACATTAAGAAGTGGCTGTCAGACTTCAAAAATGACCATAAAACTACTCTGTATCACTACTTTTCCTTATGCAAAGCTACCTTGTGTCTTTAGATAACTTGGAATATAGTGCACAATTAATTTGAGCTACTTTTATTGTGCATTTTTGCCCTTCTTGAAGTTTGATAACCCCTAGTCATTGTGCTTTTATGTGGGGAAGAGCAGTCTTAAAAACAGGTTTGAAACAACATTAGGGTGAATAAATTATGCTGGAAAGTTAAGTTTTGGGTGAAATATTCCTTAACCAAAAATAAGACAAAAATATTTTTACATATCCCTGTTTTTTTGCCTTCACTAAAGCCCTTAGGTTGATGGGGTTGACAGGAAGACGTCAGACCGTCTCGTTCTCCTCATGGGTTACATTACTCTTATTTTCTCTGGTGCATTTGAAAATACTATAGAGTAAAACCTACCGAGATTTTTGAAAACATGTAAATCTATCTAGCTGTATATTGCTGTTACTTTTGTTTACAAGCACACAATGTTATTTTTCCTCGCCAGTATGTCTCGTATTGGGAGGATGTGTAAAAGAAAAAAAAAAAACAGCACTAGTGTTTCTTTTATTTGAAACAATTTACACTAGTTGATAACCAGAGATAATTTAACTTGTTTTCTCCCCCAGTCTCAACAGGGTCTCTCTTTTGTGGGAGTATTCATTTTCCACCTTTTCATCTTTCTTGTTTTTTTTTTCTCTTTTTTTTCAGTTTTCAGATGTGAAAACATTTTTTGCACAGTCTTTTTGGTGAATGTTTACCTGTAATTGTGTTCCGTCTTGTTTGTTTATGTGTGTTCGTGTGGACGCATGCGCACGCTTGCACATGCCACTTCCTGTACAGTTTGACCTATGTAAACCTGTACTGTAAATTTCTTGTCTAAACAAAACAAAACAAAAAAATCATGGTCACCTTCAAAAATACATGCTGTTGTTGCCTTGTCACACTATTTGTGACACCATGATGTAATTTATTTTGCTTTTATTTCTCTTTTTACTTTGCCAAATTCACCAAATATGACATTTCCCCTTTCTCATAACATCTATTTTACTTTGCAATGCCTTATTTAGTGGTTTATATATGGATGTTTGTTACATCTTTATGTTGGAAAATATATCTATCAAAATACTTGTGTACAGTGTCAACGTTTTGGGAAGCAGTCTCGGTCATACTAGTTCAAATCTAGTTGTACAGATACTGACCTTCTTGTGCATTTTTTTTGTGTAAAACTTCAGATTATAAAACCTTTCAAATAACATAATCAGGCCTCTTTCCTCTCTCAACTCATTCAAAGCAGTATTGCAAAGCACAAAGTCTACTTGACTTTCAAAAATGTCTCATTGTTAGTCTGAAAGCTTACCTCAGACCTTTCTCTATTGTCCCTACAATGCTTTCTCCGTAACATCTGGTGAACAAAAACGCACAGACCTCATCTAGACGTCTGGATGATTGTGTTATCCTTGCTTTTGACGTTTTGAGAAGTTCGTATCTCTCAAATAATGAATGCTTAAAGTCATTAAATGTATGGTATCTGTGGAGATTTTTTATTAATTTTATAATTTATAATTACATATATAACAAATACTATAATGTCAATATAATTAGTAATAATTGTAATTAAATATTTAAGTATAAAGGATTAAACATGTCAAATTAAGTTAAATATAATATATAAAATTAGATGGAAAAAGAAACAAGCAACAAAACGTGACATTTTTTGTTTATTGTGTATGTTACAGATTACGTCCCGGAATAAAGAGTGAAGCGGCCGACTTTAGTTTAAAGCCGGAGCTTATTATATTGTGTTTATGTTCTTCATATTTTATGTAATGCTTTGGTAAACACTGTGAGGACGTTTAAATCCTCCATGCTTCCTGGCTGTCGTCTTTGTTGTTGAAATGACGCCATCTACTCCTGTTCGCCCATTGGCTGAGAGGAGCCCGTTTTCGCGCCATTCGCATGTCTCGGCATTGTGGGATAGCATCAGGAGGTTAGCGGCGCTCCGGGTCAACTCCGTGTTTTACCTAAAAACACCTTTCTTTGGACATTAACGGATTTGAACGGTTTCCAGCAATGCGTGGAGATGAAACGGATACGGAGTCCGTTAAATCAGCCGATGGTTCGATTCGGAGCAATCTCGAGGCGCTTTGTCAGGAGCTCAATATGGACGAAGAGACGGCAGCAGAAGCGCTTGAGAACTTCAGCTCCATCTGGAACACTTACACGCTAGAGGTGCGACTTTAATTCACATTCACACAACGACCAAACGACAGGAACAGCTGATGCCTTCCCCCTGCCTTCAGCTCGTCTGTGTGTTCATACAGACACATAGTCAAAATAACCAGTAACGTTAGCCTACTAGTAACGTAATGACATTCACACTGGCTTTCTCTGAAGTACCACGGTATGCGAATATGGTACCTTGGTATGAATACAATTATACTACCATAGTAACGTTACATATCGAAAATACTATAGTTGTACCGGGATATTATGTTACACTAATTAGTGTCCATGTATTATGTTACGCTAAAAAGTGTCCAAAGATACACCAGATTAATACCGTTTAAAACGCTTCAGAAATGACTGAGGGTTCCCTGATATGTCACACGACAATCACAAAGCGAAGATGAGGAAGTCATTTAAGGGAATGCTGGGAAAGATGCATTTTTTTCTCACTGACTGCTAGATGTTAGATCTGTCAGGCTTCTGTAGATTAAAGATACAAGTGGTGTTCATTTTATTCAAGCTTAACCTTGTAAAAACTGACATGAAATAATGGTCACGGAAATCTAATTTATTTGAAATTCCAGTTTATTGAACCCTTAAAATAAGATATAAGAAAAGTTTATGCATGTGTGTTTATGTTTTGTATCATATTTGATACATCAGACGTCCATGGCTCTTTTAGTATGATATAGGAGAGTATGGAGCTCATACTCAAGGAGGAAAAAAACAGTTCAGAGGCCCAAACTCAGCCAAAAAAGAAATAAATGCACGGCGCTGATATTTATATGGCCAAAAAGTAAGATAACATTCTGTTAGCTTGTAATGTAAGTAAGATGTAAGATCTTTATAACAGAATTGTAGAGTCTCAGTGAGATGCTATTTAAATGCTTAGTTTTATGATCAAAGCTCAGTAGCTTTTATTGTGGGGAAAAGACATGTAATGCAATACAGTAATGATTGATAAATCAAATAATGTTTTTATTTGCTTCATAAAAAAATCATTAGATTTGACAGCAACAATCAAATAAAATTTGTGTACACAGATGTACCGGCGGTGAAATTCTTAGGTGCATGTCTCTGTAACATGGCAGTATAAACAACACAACATGTGTACAATTGACAGTATATAACCTATAAATAACAATGCATGCATTTTACTCAAGACACACAGTATACACTATATATACAGTATACACGAGGAATAGACAATATACACAGGAAGTTTACATATGTTATAACTGAATGCAGTCACAGTAATCACAGATGTGTTAACCACAACCTGAAGGTGATCATTTTTACAATTATACTAAAAGGCCTAAAAAGTGTCAACTATCAGTCATACGACAGAAGGCATGCAGTAGGTTTTTCAGCAAGACTCTGGATATGCTGATAATTTAGAGGCTTTAGAAATGAATGTATCTCATGATACGGTGGGCTTTAGGGTTAATTCATCTCTGTGTGATATATTCCTGTGCATGTGTTGATTTGTGTTATGTGTTTGGTTGTCTCAGGGTGATGTAGTTCACTGGCTGGCCTGCTCTCTGTATGCTGCCTGTAGGAAGAGCTCCATCCCCACTGTGGGACGGGGTGTGATGGAGGGCAACGGCGTTTCCCTTACAAGGATCCTGCGCTCTGCGAAGCTCAGGTAAGGATCTCGAACAGACATGGACAGATACCTGTGGGATGGGCGTCTTCTCCTATAATTTCAGTTTATTTAATGGAAAAGTTTGCGTAAGAGTAAGAAGAGAAACAATGGCAAGAGCATTTATTTTATGCATTCAAGGATTTTCATTTGTAATAAATGGAGGCGTTTGTATTAAAATGTGAGTGTTGTTATGCTCTTTTTTTCCCTCTAGTTTGATTCAGTTCTTCAGCAAGATGAAGAAATGGTCAGACATGTCGAACCTCTCTCAGGATTTCCGCAGCCGCATAGGTCGACTAGAGCGCAATTTTGAAGTGTCGACAGTGATTTTTCGTAAATTTGAGCCAATATTTCTGGACATGTTTCAGAATCCTCAGGGTGAACCTCCCCGGCTGCCTAGAAGCCGCAAGCACCGGTAAATCTGCCTGCCTTTTCTTTCCTTTCTTAGCTTTCTTTTGAAAAA